AGTAAGCGATTAATCGGATAGTTTTAGCCTTAATCGGAAATAAGATTGTTGATTCAGCAAAATTGGCAATTGCCATAAAATCGGACAGCGCTTCACCAGGAATCCACCGGCCGCAGCCAGTCACTGATTGGTTAACAGAGAACTTCTGAGTTTTAATTCCCTCTTTTTGCATCAACCAAGCCTCTGATCACCAAATATGCGCTGGAAACTCCCGATCACTCAGTCGCTCCTGAACGCACCTTTCTATGTATCGATAACATGGAAATCTCTTGTTCTTGTCACGTCATTCGCGTTTGTCGAACGCACTTTAAAAGAGCCGCCGCTGTAGGAGCGTCGGTGAAGTCGTCGCCGGAGGGTGGAGGCTGAAACACCTCAGATTAAAGACGGGTGAATCTGATTCCTGTGTTGCAGCACATCATGACCGAACCGGAGGAGATCGCCACCATGTCGGGTCAGAAGCTTCCTCTAAAGATGTCCGTGGACTACATCTCCTTCTCGGCTCACACCGACTACCAGCAGACCAGCGAGTTCATCAGAGCTCTCAAACCGCCTCACGTGGTAACCAGGAGCCCGCGCTCTGCGCCACGCCGGAAACCCCATCGTCCCGATGGTGACCCCGGTTCTTCTTCGCTCCGCAGATCCTGGTCCACGGCGAGCAGAACGAGATGGCCCGACTCAAGGCGGCGCTGATCCGAGAGTACGAGGACAACGACGAGGTCCACATCGAGGTCCACAACCCCAGGAACACCGAGGCCGTCACGCTCACCTTCAGAGGAGAGAAGCTGGCAAAGGTGAGCTCTTCCAGAACCCGGTGACCTCGGTGTTCAAACCTGCGGGTCGTCTAACTCCCAGCATGCTCTGCTGCAGGTGATGGGCGTGCTGGCGGACAAGAAGTGCGCTCAGGGTCAGAGGATCTCTGGGATCCTGGTGAAGAGGAACTTTAACTACCACATCATGACCCCGTCTGACCTCTCCAGTGAGCTGCTGCTTTGGCTTTTTCTGTACCTGCGAGGTCCGACCGGCGGATTCAACGAAACCCAGAAATCTAAATCTGACAAGAAAACCTGATCAATAATAGTTTTAATACAGGGTTCCTGCGGGTCCTTAAAAAGTCTTAAAAGGCATTGAATCCTTCAAAATAAAACTAAGGCCT